TAGCTATTTATTATTAGCATTATTCTTCCGACGTCTGATTTCTTTTTAATTATAGGAAATGCGTTTTTCTAAGGTACATAAACTTTTGGGATTGACTATATAGCCAATACATCCTTAAGCAAGACTGGACTGAACATGTCATTGCATGTCATTAAAAATTGGGTGAATCTGTTAGGCATATCATGAGAGTGAAGACAGCATTGTTTTAATATCTTCTGTCTTACTGATAATAATAATGAATTATTATCAACAGTGCCTTGCATATGTGCATCTAAAAGATCATAATCACAAGACAAGAATGGATATTCTTAACGACATTACATTTTAACAGTTTCACTCAATACAGGTTTCTCTTTAATTTCATTTAAATTCGATAATATCACGTTTCTTTTTATGTGTACATTTTTTGTATAATTGTCCATAATTCTTTTTTTATAATTTATATTTCAGCAATTATGTAAATATATTTTCGTTTTACTCGATTCCTGTTTTCATACATCATGACTTCATATAGATTACCAATTTATTTATTTACAGTCTACTAATTACGTTGATAAGAGATAATATCGCAGTTAGTGGTAATTATAAGTATAATCGCTTAATTTTAAGCTACTCTGAGATATGTGAACGAGCTGGATCATTTTCATTTCGGTTTAAGATTACAGCAATACAGCATAAACAGCATTTTTGTTAAGATTCAGTATCTCTGTAGTGTAAATTATTGCATATATTTCGAGAAATATGGAAACGTATAAGGCTAAGACGTAATAAATAAAACAGTTTAGAAAGATTGCGAAGTAATGGTTTAGTATTAGTTTTTATTCAGTAGACACGAAATGCAGTAATTTCTGCGAATAAACCAAATTATGCTTTTCCTGACGTTGCTTATGATTTACGAGCAAAACTATGTTTCTTTTTTCGTGAAATATATTTCTTACTAAATATGTTTCATAAAAATTATTATTGTATTCACAATTGCATTTTCATCGAGTATGTACACGAATGCTGTTTAGTAATTAATTTGGCATAAATCATCAAAAAGAGATACTTCCTGTTATCTGTATAAGGACAGTACAAAATATTAAATAGTTTAAAATACTTAAAAACTACATTCGTCGAAATTTAGCTGCGTACGTGCCAAATCAGTAACGCATCAAGCAAATGCTGAATTATGAATAAAAGTGCCACAAATTTTCATTATCCAGTCAGTAGTTGTCTAGTCTGATTACTAATTTGTACTTTCCAAATATAAAATAAAAAAGGAACATTTTTTTATAACAATTCACCGTTTAATGAATTTCCTTATTACAATCTTCTTCTCTCATTTCACGCCTTTATATTATCGAAAAGAATTATAACATCGACTTTAGCGTTAACGATCTTTGTACAATATATTAATACTCATCACAGTGTTTGTTAATGACTATAACAGCAGATATGAATACAGGGTGTCCCAGAAGAAGTGTTACAGCCGAAAAGGTGTGATTCTAAAGGTGTTTCTGAACAACAATTTCTTTTGGTGAAATGCAAAGTGATTTTTTAATTATCAACGAAAAACACTGACTAATGAGAACACGCGTAGGACCTGCGCTCAGCCACGGGTAGGCTGACTCGGATCGCTCGGCCGTGACTCAGTGCGGGCCCTACACATGCGGGACACCCTGTATATTATGCATCCGTTTAGTTGTCTTTTCACGTATCACAATTAGTGCATACTAATAAATTAATGCATTATGCTTATAATAAATTATTCAACGCGTTGTTAGAAATTTATCATATAAAAGTAAATGTGTTAATAGGTCTTTTTGTATAAAGTAATTACGTTATTGAAGCGGTTGAAGCTGCAATTTGCAGAATGATTTACAAATTAGAAAGAAATGCCCTTCTTGTCCAGGAATATACGTTGACGGAATAATATGATATGTACCTGCTGGTATATCTTCTAATTCCAAGTAGACGAATCCTGACCTGTATCAAATTAGATCATCAATAATTTAGGAACTGCGAGCTAATGGGAAACTAAAGCCCATTTCATATAATACCTGAATGGGCCAGAGCTCTTCGTTTTGAAAGCATTAGGCGCATCAGGATCGGTCAATACAATCGATGTTATATCAAATCCTATTTGATACTGTTTAGGTCCCTTTAATATAATCAGCAGGTAGTTATTATTCATCGAACTTTCCAATACCAATTGATAACGCGGATTATTTTGATACGTTGGATGATTACCACATCCGCCAGCACTAATATCTTTCCATTGACCAGTGAGCTAAATAAATTCTTATTAATCATAGTGTGAAATATGAAATTTAATATAGTTATCAAGAATGACGAAAGATATACCTCCTTTTCGTATTTATAATAATTTGGTATCTTTCTTAATGAGAATTCGCACGATCCATAAGCGCGCAAGGTATAGTATATTGTATTTGTCTTTTCATATTGCGATATAACTAAAGTATATCGAGTATCACTTTGAGTGTCCAGCTTTATTTTGCAGAGGTAGTGCGGACTGTTTATTTTCAAGCCATCAATATATGGCGGTGGGTCGTCTATTATCGAATATTCGCAATTAAATTTGAGACTAACGCAAATGAAATTGTTTTACTTACAAGGATAATAAACTCTCTTCCCATCGTTCTTGTAAACTAATATTGTTATGTATTCTTTATTCTGTCTAAAATCTGCTATATCCGTAATGTGTCTTGTAAGCAGAATCCAAACCGCTCCTCTAACATTGCTTTTCACCTCCAATAAAAACTGCGGGTTGTCACCTATATTATAGGCGTCCTTCACTGGTCCTATCCCTGCATTCCACATTCTACAATGAAATATTGTTGTGAAAAATAATTGCAATCGTAATTTTCAATTGCACTTCGTTATAAACTTACTGATGAATGCAGTAAGTGTAATTAAATAAGCCCGGATTCCAGTTCAAATAGAATACATCAAAGAATCGACAGATACTATCGTAATCAATCCAAAAAATCCCGTTATCAAACTGAGCCGCAGAATCTGGATCGTAATTTAATACTTCTCTCAATTCATTCGTCCAATGTATTCCATCAAGTTCGGAGTAATTTCCTTTCCAACGTAAATGCGACCAAGGGTTTTTTAACTGCAGTAATCTTTCATCCTACAAATAAGTAACTATTAACCGTGTATTATAAAAATTATATTATGTACCTCTTTTATTCTTTTCAAATATTTCTTAATTACATTTATTTTCCTGACGTCGAGTACGGCGTAGGCGTGGGTGGGAACAAGACCTGTCCTGTCGGCTTCCAAATCAGATAGTTCTCCAGTAGCAACTGTTACAAGTACATCGCCTTTGTGTAAACGTGTCAACAACACATTAAATAAATTGTCTTTATTGAAATCAGGCTCTCCAGGTCTTATAGCCCATCTCTCAGGAATCCAGCCCGTTAAGGCATGCAAATCAATATTCTAAATAACAATATTTTATTGGTAATGAATACATTTCATGTTTTAAGAGATATAGAAATGAAACTTACGCTGTTCGAACCGGGAAAATCATAGCCGCCCATTACTTTCATGTATGCTTTCTCGAGTAATGAAATCCACAGCTCACCATGATTGCTAGAGTAGGAACAAAGTAATTGGTTGTATCGACTTACAGGCAATAAGTCATCTATTATAATTTTGCGTGGAACACCGTTAATGTGTAGTTTCATCATGTACTTTCCTAATATAAAATACTCGCAATTTAATTTTCATTCGCATGAGATCTCAAAACGAGAATGTAAACATACTGAATTCTATAAATTGAAAAATGCTAATATATGTTATACGATGCTTACCAAATGGATTATATATTGGTTCTTTATTTCTATTCTTTGGATAAATAATAGACGTGATCAGTCTACGTCCAAATCGTTTTTCATACTGTGCACTAACTGCAAGAGAAGCAACGAAGGAACAATCGGACACGACCTGCATGAAAATAAACACTTAATTCGATTCCAGAATATTACTTTATAGAAATTACTGCTATTTGTACTAACAGTCTGTTTAATACTGTAATAATCGACGTGATGCATTTTAACCATTCTTGTATCGGAGAATAATTCCTCCGGTCGGCACCATCTTGCGAATTCCGCCTTTTGTTTCGGTGCTAATTCTAATAAACCATCTTTATCGGTGAACGGGATAGCATATTGAAATTTCTCCGTGAGATCGATGCTCATGAAAGGTACGAACTCATTATCGTTGATGTGAGAACTATGAAGTAAAACTCTTTTCTCTTCGTCTGTGTAACTTGAACTACCGCCACTTACTTTCAAATGTGCACTACTTCCGCGATGAAGCGGTGGTCGAGTTTGTTTTCCTGCGTGTCAGAAATGAACGAAATTAGATAGGAATTTCCATTGCAGTGAAAACAAAGAAATTAATCATTGCCTGCATTAGTAGAACTAGTAGTAGCTGTTTGACTTGTTGGAGACGGTAATTTATCCACATCTTCGTCCAAATTTGTTTCTGGTACAGGAGGTAATTTGGAAAGACTTTTAAAAACGTCATTGCTATCAATCGTTTTTAAACCCTTTAAAGATTCTGCTCTATCAATAGCTAATGTTACAAGGGATTTCAATTTTGCCTTTACCTCTGCATCAATGGTTTCTTGTGACTGCAATATTATCTTCTTATTGCCTTCCCAAATAGTTTTGAATTATCAAAGAAAATTAAGATTATTTTATGTACCAGATTGAGTCCAAGCGTAGCAGCCTCTGTGTATAATTTTACAGCAATATCCTTCAAACCAGCTTCGTCTGCGTCTTGTGCTTGGTTCATAAGGAATTTACATCTCTGTAACTTGGATTGTTGAGTCGGTTGTGCTTTATGACGTTTTTGTTCTTCTTCGATAACTGTACCAGTCAAAATGATTTATTGGTTCCCAATTAATTCATTATGAAAGCATGGAATAAGCCAATTAGTAGTACTTACTAAGACTCTCTATCGTCGATATTCTCTCACGATATTCCGATATCTTTTGATCATACATAGAATCTTGTAATTCCGAAAGATATTTCACAGCTACATTATAGTAATACAATGCTTGTTTATACTGATTGTTGCTGTCAAACTGTACCGCCCTTTTAGCCGCATTTTGTGCGTCTTCAAGCGTCATTTTGTAAGATTATTTTGCGAAAATTGTATCGCGATTTCTTCGTCGTGACTTTATTTACTTCAAAAATACATAACACATTATATATTGAAATTTGTTACTCATTTAATATTAGAAATACTGCATAAATTTTATCAACTGACATTATGCGATATGCAATCTAAAAATCGTTAAAACAATGTCTCAACTAGAAAAATTAAAGGTTATATATTAGTATATATTATTGCGAAATAAACAAAGACTATAGACATATGACTATAGACATATGACTATAGACAATGATTCATAAAAGTATAATTCAAGTGTTCATCATTTCGTATTTTTCTTATGCACCAATGAAGTGATAAGATATATTTTCTATTATCGTTTCAAAGGACAGACTACAAAAATAGAATTAACGTGTCTCTGTCTACTCTTTATTATTCCGTATAAAAAGTGAAAGCATAATAAAGTAAATTTCGAAATCCTCCAACTTCTGGAGATTCCTAATAATTTCGTAAAATTTTGAAGATCACTGGAATTTTTATTTAAGTCTGAATTTTGTGAATTTCCATTTATTATTTCCAGATCTGTAAACGTTTAACATTCTAAGATTTCTGTTTCGCGTACGTATAGATATAGATAATTTAAGTTTTATTAGCAAAGGAAAAGTATTCCTCAACATACTTGCAGTTTTGTTTATTTATTTTCAAATCGTTAATCTTAATTGTTAATGCTGAACGAATCAACTTTTGGAATTGTTAAATAACGAAGAATTGGACGTGAGTCTTCCCTGAAGTTTGAGTAATGAACCTCACATCCATTTTATTTTATGCGGTTCAGTCACGTATACATGCACGGATATTGTAGATACATACATTCAAATACATTGAGTATCTGCATTGACTTATGCGGCAGAGTGGAAAAACACAAATCCAAAATATGGCAAGTTCGTCAAGGTAAATTTTGCAAAAATTTCGTTCAACGTTTTCTAACTATCGCCAGTAATGTTTGCTTCAACATCATGTTCCGCAAGTACATGTTACTTGAGATTAAAGCGACTTAATTCAGGAATTACACAGTTTGTAGGCTATGGTTATGAAATCTGACAGCAACAATGTTTGTTTATTTCTTACACGCTTTCATTTGATTGTTTCTCAAAATGTAACAGGACCTTACTGTTAAGTTTGTGTTAAAATATAGTGGATTTCTTGTAAAAAGAATCTGTGTTTATTATTCAACGGTCGTAACGAAGTTGGCAAATAAGAAAATAAAACATTTGCAGTTTTTTAATATATCTTAAACGTACGCGATTGCCATAGGAATTCCAATTGTTGGAAGCTATTATTAATAATCACAGCACAGCGGTATTATCACATGTGTACATGCGTACACATTAATATGAGGTATATTTTCTTAGTTTTCTTTTGCAGGCATGAGACAAACAAAGTTTGTTGTTATGCACACCCAGATGCACCTCTTATCGAGGACTACAGAGCAGGAGATCAGATCTGCTCAGAATGTGGACTAGTTGTTGGAGACAGGTAAATTTACGTATGATTTCTAAATAATAGTTATGAATTGAAATTTAACATTACATACTTTGCATTCTCTTTTTTCTCTTATGTCTTGATAGTTTTAATATTTATTTGATAGAGTGATAGATGTGGGTTCAGAATGGAGAACATTCAGCAATGAGAAAGCTGGAGTTGATCCTTCGCGTGTTGGTGGCCCAGAAAATCCGCTTCTCAATGGTTCAGATTTATCCACAATGATTGGACCTGGAACAGGCCCAGCATCGTTCGATGCTTTTGGTGCTTCGAAATATCAAAACAGACGTACAGTACGTATCTGTAAATACTGTTATTCATAATCTTTTGATTTTATTTCTTTAAAAATAACAAATTGGGTCATTTCAGATGAGTAGCTCTGACAGAGCGCTGATCAATGCTTTCCGCGAAATAAACGGCATGGCCGATCGTATCAATTTACCCAAAACTATTGTTGACAGAGCGAACAACTTGTTTAAACAAGTCCATGATGGCAAGAATTTAAAGGGACGCGCGAACGATGCGATTGCCTCCGCTTGTTTATACATTGCCTGCAGACAGGAAGGAGTGCCTCGTACTTTTAAAGAGATCTGCGCGGTCAGCAAGATCAGCAAGAAAGAAATCGGAAGATGTTTCAAATTGATATTAAAAGCGCTTGAAACAAGCGTGGATCTTATCACGACGGGCGACTTTATGTCAAGATTTTGTTCCAATCTTGGTCTTCCTAATATGGTGCAAAGAGCAGCTACGCACATCGCGAGGAAGGCGGTAGAAATCGATATCGTGCCTGGAAGATCGCCTATTTCAGTAGCAGCCGCTGCAATCTATATGGCATCGCAGGTAATTAAAATTGTAATCGAGATGGATGCCGATACGCATTGTATTTTTATAGATTCTCATATACTTCGTTATTGTTTAGGCGTCAGAAGATAAAAGATCGCAGAAAGAGATTGGCGATATTGCTGGAGTAGCAGACGTAACGATTAGGCAGTCTTATAAGTTGATGTATCCTCACGCAGGAAAACTGTTCCCAGAAGATTTTAAATTTGCAACACCGATTGATCAATTACCACAAATGTAAACTTAACGGGCCTGTTTCTGCGTATATTTTATCATGTTGAAACAATAGTTACATATCTTGAATATCTCATCTTTAAATAATTTGTTTTATTTACAGTATACATTCCTGGATAATTTATGAAATGTTTCTATTATTTAATTTATTATGTATCGATTCTGCTTTCTCTTTTTCTTTGCTCTATCTTTGTTTCTACCATTTTGGGATATTTACCACGATAATATCCTGATAATCTCTCCAATGTGAATAACGACTATAATTTCCTTGCAATGTTATTGTAAAAATGAATAAATTATTTTAGGCGTCAAGGTAAAACGATTGTATTATGATTGGCGTGTTTCAACATGTTAAAATTGAAAGAATGAAGTTTGTAAGATTTATATTTGATACAAAAAACGAAATTTACATGTACATCTTTATAGAGCACAATAACTGTTTGTATTCAGTTTGCAGTAAAAAAACGCAGTGACAACTGAACATAAAAAGTAGTAGGTGAAATTGTACGGTAAATTCTGTGATACTTTTACTAAATGCTAATCATCAAGAATGATATTGATTAAAAGTCGAATTACGGATTCTAATGCCTGTACACGTGTCTTATTCTTCACGTAATGCTTGCATACAAACTATAACAATAACAATGATTTTTAAACAATTCCAAAAAGAAGTTCGAAAACAATGCAATACCGTACAAAATATTTTTAACTATATAATGTAGTAGATATGAAATTCATATATATGCATATCTCTAATTGTATGTAAAGTTACATTAATAAAATATATTGTTATGATTATTAAAATGTGAACCATTACATTAATATCTTCTGTATCGTAAGACATTATCACAGTATACTTAAATACTGTGATAATGTCAAGAAATGTACGTGTGTGTGTGTCTGTCACTTGTCAATGCTCAATGTCTCTAATGTCATTCTTAGAACTTGTATTTACTATACAGTAAGAAACAGCAAATATTAACATTTGCCACATAAATAGTAATTATTTAATGCCCTTGTAATTCTAAGGATTCTCGTAAAAATGCATCTTGAAACATCGAGGAACGATTGCATAGTGGTATAACCTACGTAACGTCTGACAATATATGCAAATCCATTTCAGTTGAAGAAAGGAAAGAATTTTAACGTAGTATTTCGACGTCTAGTTTTTTACATTGGTTTTTAAAGTTAATACGAAATGAATTCAATGCCTCCCACTAAACCTCCAAGAGGTATCAAACCTACTAAAGAAACTGTGAGTTTAACAAATTAATTTTTCTTTAAATACTTTAATATGTAAAAGAATTTCAATAATGTATTCAATTTGCAATCGTCTATTTATTTTCAGAGTGGTTTACTGATTTCTGTAATTCGGGCTTTGTCGGCAAGTGAAACTAATGAGCAACGAGAGATAGAAAAAGCTAAGCTCGAAAAGGAATATAAGAAGAGTGATCAAAGGCTTGATGAATTAGTGTCGTTACATGATCAGGATCTTACACAAGTTATGCAAGTAAATATTAATATATAGTCTATAATTATGATGATAATGTGCACAATACTGATATTTGATATTTACAACGATTTCTTACTATAGATATTCAGCGCTTTATCAGAAAAAGTGACAGCTTCTAGAGAAAAGATTCATGCCGTCAAGGAAAATTTAAATGCCTGTAAACAGCTATTGAGGTGCAAAAGGGAAGAATTATTGAATTTATGGTTGGAAGGGATTGAACATAAACATGTTCTACATCTCTTAAAAGATGTGTAAGTATGACTGTCTCAAAGAAGTGATTTTAAGAAATTATCCATAATTTTTCAACCTATGTTTTTTCTAGAACTTCTGATTCATGTACTAGAATGTTACCTCTGACAGACGCAGATTCATTATCAGTATCTAATACATCATACAACGCAATATCAGACTGATAATTATTATTAGGTATATTTCTAGCTAGTTGTAAATGGATTGTAATTTAATTGTTTTGTATTTATATGTAAGAAAACATGAAATATAAACTATATTCGAATCACATCTTTTCTATTATATTTCTACCCTTTTGATATTTACACAATAAAAATGAAATAAAAAATCCTAATTAAGTACATGTATGCATATCATACCCCATTTTGTTATCAGTTATTTTTTATAAATGATCTCATAAATATATGTTTAGTAGATTTTAAGTATTTGATTGCATACTGGTCTAGTCGTTTTTAAAATACTTGTCGCGTTGCCAGTCAGTCGGGTCAGTCAGTGGTTCATGGTTATACGACGCACGTGATAACGATATATATTAATAGTATTAGTATTATTTACCTGCATTTTTTTACATTATAATTGCCCTGAAAGTTCATGCAAGCGATAAAGCTTGTAGATAATTTTTCCACTTGCACCTTGAAATCAGTAAGTCTTCAAAACGTATATCGTAAGTACCATAACAACTATTTGGTTACATTGAATACTGTTCTTTATTTTTTAATTTACGAAATACTTCTTAATCTTCATGTTCTTACATGTTTTCTTAGTCTTACATGTTCATTTAAAATTTCGTCTTAAGCATTGGTGTTTAAAAACATTATGCAATTAATTTCTAATTCATTATTATCGTAAAATCTTTTGCGATGATCTCGATGATTTGCATTCATGACTCGGAGGTTTTTACGAGAAGAACATTCTTCGCAGATACCATTTTTTTTAAATATTTACTGCTCTTAAAGTTGTTCGAATCAACAATGACTGCGAAACGATAACTATCTCGATGCGTAAACATTTCCCACTTACGTTTCCCCAGCGATGTCCATAATAGCTCTCACAGATTTAGACATTGTAAAGCAATTAAACATTTAAAAAACAAGAATTTGTTGTTCCAGGTAGAGATGGGTACATTGGAATTAAAACAGACTTTGACTGGACATAGGGGGAGAGTGTGGAATGTTTGCTGGCATCCAAAAGGCACGTACCTAGCGTCTTGCGGCGAAGATAAGACAATTATAATATGGGGATCACAAGATACTAAATGGGCTGTGAAAACTATTTTAACCGAAGGCCATACTAGAACCATAAGAGAGATCGCGTGGTCTCCTTGTGGAAATTATATAGCTTCTGCTAGCTTCGATGCTACTACTGCTGTATGGGATAAAAAGTCGGGGCAGTTTGAATGTAATGCAACTTTGGAAGGGCATGAGAATGAAGTGAAAAGTGTTAGTTGGGCTTGTAGTGGACAGTTGTTGGCTACTTGCAGTAGAGATAAATCTGTTTGGATATGGGAAGTAAACGACGACGAATACGAATGTGCTGCTGTTATTAATGCCCACACTCAAGATGTAAAAAAGGTAAGTGAATGCCATATATTGAGTAGAATTGCAATATCATGATCTTCGCTGGATATTAGACAGAAATAGAAAACAAATAATTATAGGTAAGGTGGCATCCCAATGAAGAAATTGTAGCATCTGCCAGTTATGACAATACTGTGAAGATATTCAAAGAGGATGCTGCAGACAATGATTGGTCTTGCATGGCAACGTTGTCATCTCACACATCGACAGTTTGGAGTCTTGCGTGGGATAAATCGGGCAACAGAATTGCTACCTGTAGCGACGATCAAACAGTGAAGATATGGCAAGAGTACAAGCCCGGTAATGAGCCAGGAATCGTTACAACGAATAACGAATCTGTATGGAAGTGCGTGTGCACGATATCTGGTTATCATACAAGGACGATATACGACATAGACTGGTGTAAAACAACGGGTTTATTAGTGACTGCATGCGGTGACGACATTATTAGGATATTTAAAGAAGACGGCGACTGTGATCCTCATCAGCCAACGTTTACAATGGTCTGTTCAATGGACACTGCTCATAGTCAAGATGTAAATACTGTGCAATGGAATCCAACTGTTCCTGGCCAGCTTGCTTCGGCCAGCGACGACGGCTCAGTGAAAATTTGGTTTTATAACGAATGATAGTTTTCTATGTAGCTGTATTTTTTATTAATAAATTTTATTTAAAAGACGAGAGTTTATATTATCGTATCCTTCCTTTATATTCTATCTTACACATCAGACTTGAGTAGATTCACTCATTTTTTGTTCCAGGCTACCTTAAATGTTCAGGAATTTCACTTTCATCCAAAGAAACTGTAAGGTCGTAATATTTAACGTTCTGCTCAAACACAAAAATAAATTTTGCACAATGAGCGATATAAAACTCAAATTTAACGGAGTCCCACTGACCCAAGTGGTAAACACACTGGAAAAATTTGCCAGTCTATCACTTGCGGATTCCTGGGATAACGTAGGGTTGCTAGTCGAGCCAACTGAGACAAAGATTATTTCACATATTCTTTTAACGAACGATCTGACCGAGAACGTGATGCAAGAAGCTTTGGACTTGAAGACAGACATGATCATTACTTATCATCCTTTGATCTTCGCACCTATGAAGTCCGTAACGACACGTTCGTGGAAGGTAACAATAGGTCATATTAGATTTTTCAAATTGCTACATATATTATTTTCTTCAGGAGAGGATCGTCGCCAAGTGTTTAGAAAATAAAATAGCCGTCTATTCTCCGCATACCACGTTCGACTCGGTAAAAGGCGGCGTGAACGATTGGTTGGCTTCCGCGTTTGAAAATGGTAATAATGTAAGATAGGTGCGTCTTCCAATACCATTTTACAATCAATATTTTGTGTGCAAGTACTTGGAAGTAGCACGCCTATACAAGCGAACTCCACTAATAGCGATTACGGTTTCGGACGGTTGTGTATTCTAAAGGACAAAATCTCCGTCGAGGAAGCTGTGCGACGGGTGAAGGAACTTACTGGCTTGAAACATGTTCGATTAGCTCGCGCCCGTGGGACAGGTATTAATACTCTTTTCTAACATGTTTACCGACTTTTACGATTTCGACTTGCAGACGGTCTTATCAAAACTGTCGCTCTCTGCGCTGGATCCGGGGCATCTCTTTTAAAGAACGTGTCTGCTGATTTGTATCTCACGGGAGAAATGTTGCACCACGACATTCTCGATGCTGTACATAAAGGGATCAGTGTGATACTGACGAATCATTCCGATTCCGAACGTGGTTTTCTACGAACGTTTGCATTTACCTTAAACGACATGTTGGACAAGTCTGTAGTAGTATCCGTTTCCAAGAACGACGCCGATCCGCTGGACACTGTTTAAGAAAGAAATAAAGCATGTCGACATAAACGTTGGTGATGGAAATATACGTTACATGTGATAAAATTTTATTATTAATATTATAAATTACCTGTCCTATTTAGGGATTGACAATTTTTATTTGAACCTGGTAAAGTTTGAGAAAGAGAGTGATAATATCAGGGAAGGTACATAAAAGAATCATCATTGTATATTGCGGTTCAAATCATAAATCATTTTACAGCTATAACAGAAACTGCGGTTTCGTGTAATAACGCGATTAAACTACGTTTGCAGTTAATCTTTGAACATGTGTAACCGTTATAGAATCGATTTCCCTTAATTTGATTATTGGAATATTATTCACTTGTTCTATTCATTCATCCGTATCCCTTTTAATCACATCCATCCAGATTCACGCGTTGATGATTACGAAGAGAAACTTTGGTTTTAACAATGCACGCGCGTAACCGATGCTCATCGGGAAGTTACTATAACTAAATAAAATACAACAGTCGTTATACTGGTCCAATTAGAATGATCTCAATTTTGAGTCCACGTGTCCGATCCTTCTTTCATCAAGTTCGACTTCATGATTCGCTTAACGATAGACGAAAATTAGTCGGTTGGTAGCAAACTTTCGTAGGTCCAACTTTTACGGTTCTGTGTGGGTAAAGTTTGCCATTCTAACAATTGAGTTCATAACAAAAATGACCCTTGTCAAAAGTAATCAAATTACCAAGTCTACCTCTGGAGTTTTGGATACAGTTGTTTTACTAAAATGAAATTTCTTCTCGAAGAAGACAAAATCGAGAGGGTTGTTCTTATTATGAACTTTACTTATTCTTTCTGTGTGTGTGCGTACATGCGCGTATGTATTTTACACCAATTACGAAATGCACTAATATACGTTGAACACTTTATATAAATTGCGACTCTACACCGTCGGAAATGGAAGGATACCCTGAGCTCGGATGCCCAAACAAATGTGGATCGTATGACGTGACGTTATCGAGAATATTTTTGCAGAACAAGCAAATGTGGAACTCAAAAGTGCAGTTTTATCATTACGCTAGTCGATTAGTTTTTCACGTTTTGAGTTTGACATTTACTGTCCTGCTGAAACGGACCGGTTTGTTATCGCTGACATCGTTTCGGTTTAACCGTCTATTAATCAGTCGTGACTACATTCTCTAGAAATTCCGTTCAGTTTCTCCAGAAAGCACTTCATTATCGATTATTTCCAGGAAAGATATTAATTAAGATGAAGCAATTTAATACGCAGATTTGATGGCGTATCGATTTCAATACCACTAATCCAATTATTCTTTCTATCGAATTTTTTTCTCTAACGCGAATGTAGTCCGCTGATATCCATTTGGAGATTTCCATTTGTCGTTAGATAGTCGACATAATTCTGTCAGATGAAACGAAACACAATAGCAGTAAAAAAGAATAAAGTAACAATTGCAAATATCGCCACTTCTCTGTTATTCATGTCTTTTTTGTTTTCAGAATGAAATATTTTTTATCCCGACTCGAAGTTACGATTCGTCGAACAACTAGATCGAATTCGAAGATAATCCAGATTTATTTCGCGCCTTTAATCCGGATTCTCAATTTACACATCGAAGACGATTCCCGCATTTCCTCTTTTGTCGCGAATCAAACAAATCTTTCCTATTGCCTCCTCGCGCTTCGCGGAGTAGGCAGTATGTATAACATAGCTTATATGTACGCCGTAACACGACAAACGTTTACAACGGAATAATTAAAAATCTTAGTCGCATTTCAACAGTAATTCGTACATTTTGGCGAGTACCATGTGTGTATTGTCTTATAACTGTAACACAGCAAATTAAATCATACTTCCTTCAGCGTAAAACAATTCGTCCTCAACGAACTATATTGTTACCATCGATAATTTACTTTTTATATTCTTCTTAAGTATAGGATGTTCCGTAGTTGAATAGTTAATGTCCAACGTTCATAGATTCCTTAGAGTAGCTTCTAGGGTGAAAGTGAATTTATATGAGGAGAGCCAATTTCGTTTTACCAATTCCAAAATTTTATTAGCATAGTTTTACATGTGGGTTAAAATATCAAAGCCAAGAATAACATATATATATATATGTATATATATATATATATATATAGACTAACGAGGTCAATATCCATTGCAGTGTGAAATTCATATAAAAAGTTCTACTTTTCATATTATCAACTCCATCCTTTTTTTGTTTCGCTCATGAAACGATCGTCCTGGAACATCCTATACGTCGAGTTTTATTTTACTTCGTTACAACAGACTACTTTTCTTATAATACATTCAGCACCAGTTGTGCCGCAATATGGTCCGATTTCACCTTCACCTTTTTTTTCATTCTTTTCTTCGTTTTCAGTCTTCCCTCACAGATGCTTCTTCTCGCGTTTCCGATCCAATATGAGATCACTGTCCCGTTTCATCTCGTACGTAGACATTTTCCTAACACGGATCTTCGTATACTTTCAAGCTAGTTGTCACCTCACTTTTATTAGAGCAGTCGTTTTCTACGTGCGTTTATCCTTAGACGATTTTCGGTGAGCGGCTACCAATGCCGTTTTAATTAAATCTGAAATCAAAGTAAACAACAGCAGCTCTTGAAATTTCGATCAAAGGTTGAAGCGTCGTTTATGCAGAACTTTTAAATAGTTCACGATAAAACGGTACATAGAGGATTCTTGTAACAGGTCCCAAGGCGGAAATCTTACTTTTTAATGAACTTTCGCACGCTCCTAATGGTGCTTTAAATAATGGATGATTTATAAAGCTAATGGGTTAATAGTTTAGCGAGTATTTAACGTTACGAAGTTTTAAGGAGCTTTCGTTGGACTAACCCTGTATGAACTAAACTTGGTCGCTTAGGGACTTCCCACGTTCTGTCGCTGCTGTTACAGATAACGGCAGATATTCGTTATTCGGAATATGAAACTCGTTCTGAATTAATTTAAGAAACCATTTCGAATATTTCATCAGAAGAGATTGAAAATTAGACTAGTTTCAATCTTAAAGGAATTTATGATTTGATAAAAATCCTCGCTCAAATATCGCGTCCTCGCAATCACGAACCCTCTATGTTTGCTCGAACTTCGCCGAAATTCAATTATGAGCCAACTCGGCTTGAAGACCGAGAGATTCGAAAGCGACGCGTCGCTACTTAGCAGGCATTCATGCAAAAATTAAATTTCTCATGCAACACCGCGACGAGTTTCCGCAGCGGAGTCGTTAGAAATGGCGGAGGTTTACCGATGAATATCCGAAACGAGGATTTCGTGTTCTCGCTGCGGAGAGCCCGGCTCAATAACGATGATTCAGGAAAGCCAGCATGGTCGTCGAGATCATTACGAACGGCAGATTCGCCAGCCTCAGTTGGCCACCATGTTGCATCGCCGCTGGATGTTCCCCTGCCGAACAATGATTAAAATTCAAATTGAATTCCGTCCTCTAGCATCCGTCGTCGCCGTCTTCGTCGTCTTATTGGAATTGTTTCACCGCGCTAAGGCGACGCCGCGCCGTGTACGAATGTCTATAGTCCACAGGGTGGTTTGCTAAATATTTATTGCTTCCCTTAATCCAACTCAACGAGGAACTTCTTCAAATTCATTTTCCCAAATCGATTAATCAACGTCATTTTTGTAATAGAGAATTCGAACCCAAGTGTAAAAACATCATGCGTTTATCTGAAACGAATTCAATCGCGACACGTGTTAAATTTTATTAAGTCACATGTAATATATTTTATTTCTGAATTTAGATCGTCCCTTATCCTTTGTGGCCCTATTTCCCTAACGGAAACCGTCTTGAATATTAAACCCCGTGATAGGAACGTAAGCGGCTGCAGTAAACCAGAGACTCGAATTTGAAATTCGGTTCGATCGATCGATACCGTTTCTATCCACACCGTTACCCTCTTTTGTTGATCCAAGCTAAAGCTATTATGTTGCAAAACAGGAATGGGAATACGGCATTGAAAAATGGTAACTCGCAAAATGCAGTGCCCGTAACGATTACGCGTTAGTCAGAAAAGCGTGAAAGATTATAATTTGCCGTTGAATATTCATGAGACCGGCGAAAAAAAGACCCTTTGAATGGAAAAACTTCAGTTTTTTCTCTCTTTTAGCACGCAGCGCACGGCTAATTCCCGTCATCAGTATGTACATCGTTGCCGGAATTTAAAACGGTCTTCAATAGCCTCCACCCACACTCGTGGTCTCCTTGTGTTCGCCTCAAGAGCCTTCAACCACACCTTTAAGAAAAAAGCGTATCATCCCTTTCAAAGGGAAGTGATCTTCATGCCTCGGAAGCGCCTCTGTGTCTAGCCGAGGATTCTTTCCACCCGTACGATGGCCTCTTCTGTGTCCACCACCCGAGTGTTTTCCTGATTTCTTCGAGTATGGACGCATTAACGCGACACAATACCCGACTACAGTCTACGTACAGTAATCCTGTCGTTACAGTAATTCTTTATCCGAAAGCGAAAAACGAGGAACAGAAAATATGAAAGATTAAATATGGAAAGGTGGAACGAAGGAGAATTTATCGAATGTCATCCATAAATGGATTCCCACTCGAAAGGAACCTTCGGGACTTCGAAGATTAGGTTTGAGAACGACCCGTGAGGAGAGAGAGGTACAGAAGGAGAGAGAGAGAAAGAATCACCTATGATATATGCGACGTCTACGTGACGAAACCCACGTGACAAGATTGTAGAAGCGAGAGGTGGGTATCATTTCTAATACAATCGCCCTAAGCGGGTAGTAGTACTAGTAGCCTTGAACGAACGACGAAATCTTGGTCGTGGGGTATAGACCGGAGAGAAGCGGTGGTGGGTATATCGATTTTATGATAAACTGGCGCGGTCCGGTCGTCGATAGACGTTTATCTTTCTCTGTCAGACATATCCTGCCCGGTTCCCTAATCCGGAATTCCACTTCCTGAAGGCTATCTACCCGGCAGTATGGTTTTGCGGAACGGGCCGCATAAGGGGTTGGGGGATGGCGGCTGCAACAATAGCTGAGCTCAGCTCGACGCCCGGCACACTCTGAGAAATCTCTTTAATTACTCTTCTCACTCGACCGAATGCTTTTTGCTAAGACCGTTATCTTCCGGCTAGAACGATCGGATTCATTCGTTTTGTAAACGCGGCCAAAGCCCCGCGAGAAATTACGAGCCCACCCCTGCGCTACACTATGGCGTGTTATGAATTACTGCGATCGTTTTTTCTCCACCTCTTTCGTCTCTTTCTCTCTCTCTCTCCTTCGCGGGAGTGTCGAGGAGGAAGTTCAGAGTTTTCGCAGGAGAAACACGATTACGACAACGGGGCAGTTTTTAACGAGAATTCATTAACGGGCCAGTTAATGGAAACTTGTGAAATCTCTTCCTCCTTCTCTGTTTTATTCAACTTTTTGACCGTCTTTTGTTAGCCCATCTGATTGTCATCTTCAACGAAGGTGTTTCTTAATTCGGTCTGAACGATCTGAAAATATGTCCTGAGTCCGAGGCACAAATCATCTCTTATCTCAAACTTAAGATTTAACTAGAGATTCGCTTCACTTTAAGGATACTATTTGAGACGAACAGATTTTCTGATAGCGCACGTACACATATAAAGATAGACGGATCTAGTTATCAATTGCGGTGCAAAAGCGTGTCGAGTGCATTGTTGAGCAATCACTCCAGCTAAGGGTTGCCGTTCCCAGCCAGGCAGGTTGGATAAAGTCTTGCGAAACGGATGGAGTGATTCAGTGGCGCGATTTGTATTTCTTATCCTACCCGTAGCGGCGGTGGATGTTACATAATCGGTACGCGGAATTTCATTTAAACTCGGTAGGGAGCGAGAAAAAAAAAGAATGGAGAAAAAGGAAATTGAACGTGCGAGAGAGTTTGTTTAACGGCGAACGTGCGGTTTAAGCTGCGTCCATTCTCCGTTAATTTATGCAAATATGAAAAAGTTAAAAAACCGGTAAAAAGTGGTAACGAATAATAAATTCCGACAAATGGAGAACTTAACAATTTCTCATCGGGCATTTAATCTTAACGCTTGTTATTGGAATAACAAATTTCCTGGGATTAGCTCAAACGAATTCGGAAACTTCCTGGAGATTGCAACGATCAACCATAGGTATGGAAATTGGGTCAGTTCGATAAAAAATCGAGTTACGAATCCTTTTACCCCTTTCGTTAGCTGAACGTATCGACGGTCAGGCGCGTCGCGAGGGGACAGTAATGTCGAAACTATATCGTACAAAATTTTTAAATTGCACTATTGTGTATATTTGACTTGCGTATGCTAATTTCCTGTTGTACTACTACAAATTTACATATTCGCGTAACTGTACGAATTTCGCACGGGACTTAATGAGATATTACGTTTTTAGGGAAGCATACAGAACACGTCCCGCGTTTATTTCCTGGAGACCCTTTAATCATGATATACAGTAGCTTAACAAAAGGAAGGGAAAAAATGGAAAGGAAAGAGGAGACGGAAAAACGGTAAGGAGAACGCTTTAGACGATAAAGTTAGTCGCGTCTCCTCGACGTTACATTATATTATATAAAGTGGAGGCACCTAAATAACTCTGTTGTTTTTATGGGCATAGGAGGAAAGTCTTCAGGAGGTGAAATTGCATTGTCCGAGAGTGTAGCTCATTTTTATACTCGTTTCGCTCCTTCCGCCTGGTGCAAAAAGAATAACAAAAAAGAATAAAGAAAATAAAAAAGATAATGCCAAAACTGCGGCGTTATCAGCGGACGACTTACAAAAGGAAGAACCCATTCCCCGAGGTTTCGCTCGATCTCCCCTTCAGGCGACACGGCTCGAAATGATCGAGCCGGTGAGAATGGCAGTGGCGTAAATCAATTTCGCCTCATCTTGAGAAATTCATACTTAAAGCCTGCTATTCAATTTCAGTGGAACGGCAGAGCGCGGAGCGTAACTCGATTTTCCGACTCTTTTGACTTGACCCTGTCGTATCGTCTCTGATGACTCAATTACAGAACCGGCTGTACCCCGGGGGGACTTCCTTAAGATGCGCAGCGTTCTATCACCTACGTTTCCACGTATCACTCCACGGGTTAAACGACGATTCGTTTTCAGCTCTCTAATTTTGAATTTTATCTTTCCTCCCGGAAATTCCGTCGCGTTTTAGGATTAACGAAACGCTGTGGAAGTCGTAAATTCGATGGGAAAACCATTCTGGCAGTGGAAGCAATGAGAGAGAGAAGAAAGACGAAGAAAATGGTGACGCTAAGCGGGAACGCTAAGACCGCAGAAATTTCAAGTTTTTTCGCAAATATATGTACATACCATTAAGTACGTGCACCAGGACAGTCTTTGTGTTAGCGTTACTCGGATGGCAGGTATACTCGCCGCTATCCGCTGGCTGTGCTCGCTGCACCAGGAGATACGACGTAGTTACTTCTCCTTTCTCGGTGATCACCGATACACCGCCCCTAGGACTGTCGTAGTTGATCACCTATATCGGGCAGAGATAAAAAAGGGAGAGGACATGAGAAAAAAGAACTGGCTGAAGAACACACAAGGTAGCGTAAAGTTCCGTCGAGCGAAATTTTCTCGGTAGATCTCGTTAGGCGGAAAAACAACCTCCGTTAACTACAGGATCACGCAAAATCCCCAACAACTAGTACAATCGTCTGCTCTTGTAGCTTTAATTATAATTTAATTTAAATGACACATTATTAAGTTGACCCCCCCGAAATAGTGCGACATCTGAGAATGTTGATAATCTTAATCTCGTTCATGAAACAGGATATTTTTGTAACTTGTGCACCATCCACTATATTTTCCTCTGTCTTCCACTACGTTTCTCCAACGAACGAATTTATTTCGTCGAGGAACCGAATTGCCTGGAATTCGCTTATCCGTGGTTAAATGGAATCTCCGGTTTCTCTGGAGGAAAAAAAGCGAGAGAGAGGAAAGATGTGAAATTCGTCCAGTGAGTCACGGTAAATATTCGTAGATAAAAAAAGGCGAGGAATAAAAATGCAAGAGGGTGTATGTACAGTTGCTTGGTTACAAAAAATATTGGCAGAAAGCTACGCTTTTTCCTCTCAACACGTACCGTAGTAAATTTTCCCGATCACGCGAGGACAAAGTGATGGAAAATCATATACTTGCATTTTATTTGTAAGCAAGTATTAGATCAAACATAAAGGTACAAGCGTCAATAGTTTTTATAGCTACTGCACACACGTACGTATAAGTCACAAAACAACATATTATAAACTGTACAACTAAATGAAGTGAACTGAACGAATATGAATAATGAACAAGTTTAAATTCGTGAAATTTTAATGAACAATTAAAGACAGATGTCTTGTATGCAATTTTAATGCTTCAAAACCATTTACATACTGTGAATAAAATTATAATTTACGGTTCCTATCCATATTCTTTCATTTTGGTCGGTAAAAATTTGTAGAAAATTCTGTTATAAAAAAATTGACAAGTTTAAAACGTCTCTCATTTTTCACTGAAATCGTTGAATAAAATTGTTTCATATATTTTAATTCGAAGTAAAATTTTATTGAAACTACCCACGATTCATTGTATACTTTTTTATATTATTATTACTGCATGATGTACTTAATAAATTGGTATGTTCATTCAAATAAAATATTTTCTGATGCTTTTTCATTCGCCTCATTTTTGATGGAAGATGAGCATCTGGAAGTGTCGTGAAACGTATAACCGGAGTAAGTAAATAGGTATGTAAGATCCGTTTGGAATTGGATTTCAGACAACAGGAACGAACGATTGCGTTTACGTCCAGGCTTTTGCGAGGCGTTTCGTGGTTCCCTTTGGGAGCATTTGTTTTCTCGGTTACCTCTCACCGTGTCACGACGCGGGGAACGAAAATAAAATTAAAGGCCCACCGCGGCGTGTCGAATTCGAGGCGTTTTAATGAAACCGTAACCGACGTGTATTACCCCCGTATATAAGCGCGCGCGCACCTATCCTCGCCACACGGAATTTAAATGGAATTGTTAACAAGCCGGCGGTCTCATTAGCATAAACTTTCCGCGACGATCATGCGAATTGTTTCGGCCCCGATTTATGATGGCCGTATCGAGACACATATTGGTAGCTTTTGTTCGTGCACCCGCTCATTTGCCGTATTCATTCAGGATCACGGGTGCAGCTTCGAATTCGAAATCAACCTTTTTCGACTCCTATTACCTCCTCGTTCAAGCGAGACCAGTTTGTTTACACGTTCATGGCAAATACGTAAGAATAACAAACTGTTTTTGAAGTATCATAATATTTGCAACAGGAAACAAACATTTACGCTATCCGTTGATTAATTTTTATAACTGTCGACAAGTCAGCGTTCAAATATTTTGTACTCTCGTGCAACAATACGGTGCCACTATATGAAACTATTTTCAATTTTCATCTCAACTCCGGACGTGTACCGTATTCCGCGTCCTATTTGTTGGAAACATGTTCTAACGAAGCGTCCTCTCTATCTTTATTACACATAAATTAACTTTGTCTTAATTACCGCTGTCGAATTCATTGCGACTGCGTAACAAAGGTAAATATTTTAATAATCCGTCGAGTCGTGGCCTATTGCGTCGATACGAAATAAATTCAATAAATACGTATGCTACGTGTATATACTGCACATTTTTCGAGAAGAGCGTAGACACGTAAATTTTCACGCACGAATCCCACGTTCCGCGCGGTCGCTCGAGCGCGGAGCAAAACAATAGGAACGCGGGACTTATTATCAATTTATCGAAACAAATTGTTAGCGTTACAGAAGCGTAGCGCGCGCCCCATTCCGCCCACTTGTATCATTTCCTCGTAACGTATCACCACTGCATATCATTACTGCGTATCATCGTTGCATCTATACTCGTATATATACATACTCGTATATGTATACACTGGTTTACGAGTAAGTCTTAACGTATTCTATGACTTGTACGATTACAACCACAGAACTTATTTAATGATTTAGTATAATCGAATTAGTTTTTTATGCTTACTGATTTTGAATATCTTTATGGATCACAAGTGAGTGGGAGCGAACACATAATGACAAGGAACGGTGATACGATACGAGAATTTGATACGACTAGATATGCGGATTTTGGATGGAATGTGAACGCGACGGGGAATAACGAACGGCTGGGAGCCGCCTTCGGAAAACAACGAGACCGACATAAAACGCGATCCTCGCTTAAACTCGTAACGTTCCAGATCAAATATGGCGAACGGGGCTGACCCGATACATCCGCGTATAAATCGTCCTGGAAACGAGCCATGCCTTTCATGAAAATTCACGGAACGTCCCCGTGCGGTTCAATTTTTGAACGAAACGCTTCGTCCCGCTCATAAATTAACGACACACGCGCTCCCAGCTTCACTGCATAAATCCTGAACAAAAATTAAATAAATGAATACAGGGGACGTGACGAGATTATGTGAAATACCATCGTCGTTCAAAGGTGCTCTAGCACCTTTCCCTGGCCGTAAGAATTTTCATCGGAGGTCCGTATTTTTATTCCGCATCGGTTCGATGAAAATTTCTACTGTCGAAGCGGCACGTTTATTTAAGTCAAGGCAAACATGCTCCAAATATTTGCTAGCCGGCTTAGCTTGAATAAAAAAGAGGTCAGAAGCTTTTTTGAATATAAACGTACTGCCTTAATTGGTCGTTAAATGAAATTATAGCAGTCGATTAAAAAATTAGGTAAGTTTAAAGGTGATCGTTCATAGTTTCGCGCAAATTTTGAGCTTACCGTCGAAGGATGAGTCACATTTCGGATATACTAGAATATTTAAGCGCTGCTTCTAAAGACAGTTTTCTAATTCTCTTATTACGGATGCTAACTGCAAATGTATGTACGTATGCAGATCTATGCAAAGACCGGTGAATAACGCGATGTCAGTAACAATGTTTCTCCGGATATACGACTACGTAATGGCGTCGATGATGCATGTCGCGAGGCCGCGTTGACTCGTGCCATTTTTCGCGTTCCGAGCTAAGTATAAGGTCCCGAAAAGTTTGTCCATTAAAACAGGAAGTGACGGGTACAAACAAGCGATTATTAAATGGCGCCGCGGGTTTGCCGAGCGGGTCAAACAACGGGCCATTCATGACCCCTATCCATTTACAGGGAAACTGCTCGTTTAAAGATGATTTACTTGCACCGTTAAGACCAGCCAGATAACCGGCTGAATTAAAGATCGCGAAAGTCTTTTATTACAGCTACCTCAAATGATAGATAAAAATTATATTGTCCAGAAAGCAGAGTTTCAACCCTTCCTGGTTCTTCCGCAGCATTGACTTTTGTTATTCAACTTTTACGAACGATATAATCCTATCCTGTTGATTTTCACGTGAAATATTAACGTTGATTATACAATTTGAAACTCGATATGTATTCAAAATCGTCCGACGTCCGCTCAATGTGCAATCACTATTCCATTTTTCGTGATCCTATGAAAATTGTAATTCTAATCAAAACCGACAGCAGAAGAATTCCAATTTTTAATCAATACGTCGAACCCTCTGATCGGAGCGACCACTTCGCCCGTCGCCATCAAATCGAAAACCGCATCGTGCACTTCCGTTCTAATCACATCGACGTTGCTACCCATAAAATCAACCCGGATTCCTCCTCCGCCGTAACACGTTACCTACACGCAGACAGGCGTGTAGATACACGCTACATTTAGCAACACACATTGCACTCACACCAGGAAGCGGGAAGCGACCGGAGGACGAAAGGCAGTTTCCAGCAAGTGTTCGAAGGATGATCCAGATTTTGCGTTTAACGGGATCAACACACAGAGATAGAGTATCCATTACCATTAGTGCAACTTGAGAGTTGGTTCAGGCGCTTCATGGTTTCATACGACTTCTCTTCCAGCAGACCCTATCCGTAGCCATACTCTTGGTAGCTAGTACATTCTCTCTCCTCTCTGACGACTCGCCTGGTACCCAGTCGCTCTCGGTACACACGCTACGGGTTAGCATTACGCAAATGTTATTATTCGACAGTGCTCTCCATGGTTTCAGGTTTGCCTATTAACGCCCCACTATCTGCCAGCTAATTCGCGAAGCCCACACGAACTTACGTGTGCCACGTTAATGTCTTCTTTGCGATTATTTCACTCCGCATAGATCAAAATAAACTGTGAATCCACTAACTGTTTGACAGTTTCGGAAACAAGAAACGTGTTTCCGCCTGGAGAGTAGTTACGTAAACGCGTAGGCAACGTTTAATGTTAGCTAGACTTCACGGGTTTCCACGCGATAATGAAACTGCGACTTTCCGCAGAGCGTAAGATGTTTTCATTCGCGTTAATGGTTCCGGATTTGAATCGAAAAATGCATCTAGAACTGGGTTTGCCCGTGGCATTGCCCTGGCGATATTCGACGCAGTTTCTTTGTATTTTTGGGAATAAAACTTTAGAGTAGCGCATAGAGCAAGTAACGGG